TGAAAAACACACAACCTAGGAGCGCTGCATACCGATACATAGGCTTGATCCAGTTCTGACAGTAGCTTCTCGATTCGATCTCCAGTGAGCTTCCATTGGATTTCACTGAGGCCAAACCTGGAAACAATGAGCAATATTTAGCTTTTAATCACTGGTTTTCGTTTGTAGGCATTGAGAGTATTCACCTTGTTTTAGGAAGGAAGATGTTGAGCGCGTAGGATCTATCGACATACCGCAGCGACAGCACCTGCAGCTCGGCATCTTCTACGTAGAGCCGATATTCGCGGAACACATTCATGAACTCTATCTAAATGGTTAGCCATGGAACCAGATAGACTTGTGCAAATGAGTCATCAAGATTCGTAAACCTGCAGATCACGATTATTTTCGAGTCTTTGAAAGCTTGTGGTTGATGAGCTGCTCCAACTCAGCTCATACCTTATCAATCTAGACGCTTCCCGACCTTAAGCCCCAGACTGGCAAACAGAAAAACTTTGGGAGTTTGTGATGGATGGTTTTTTTTTTCCTGCACTTTTACCGCTTGAGGTACCAGCGTCATAACGTTTTACTGACTCTCCTTACGGCTTCGCTACCGCACACCTGAAGCTCAAGAAAGCCTAAAAGCTCGTTCTTCCCTCACCGACCGACTCCTCAGATCTGTAGAACATTCCTTCTTGTCGGTGACACTTTGAAATCTGTAGCGCAACTCAGCAGGCAAAAGTAATAGCGCTCACAAGTAGAGAAATGCGCTCCTGAAAGCGTAAGACGCACTCAATGCCTCCTCCCACGTCATCCAATCCTGACTACTTTGAAACTGTCTACTTCTGAGGCCCTTCTTGTCTCGCCCATTCGATCACGTTCGATCGGTGCTGTCACCTCCACAACAGTGTACTTCATGGATACACAGGTGATCAGACAGCTCCAGAGCTCTGAAGTGCCAGTCATACGTGTTCTTTGTGTTTACCAAACAAGCATATTATCACGTTACTTGAGAATTTATCTCACCCAGGGAAGACACCAACCTCGAAGTGTGCATCCGCTCAACATGAACCTATACTCCAGACGACTGGCGTTTTCTCGACGCGCATCTCGAATCGCATCTCGCAAATTACACCGAACGCTTCCTCTAAAACCTGGTTACGCGAGGTTGCTCGAATACCGCACTGTAACAGACTCCGCAGAGCTCTCGGCAATCCCATCCCGCCGCGCGCTTTGGCCGCACGTGCCCCAGCTGCCCTGCTTCCCGGTACAGCTCGTACCACCACCACCCCCCCCCCCCCGCCCCACTCGGATGCCGGAACCCTCTCGCCCTCGCGCATCGAAATTCGCTTGCTCCCTTTCCTACTCAGGCCTCACTAAAATACACCACACTTATTCCAGCCTCACTCAACACTCACGGTTGGTTCAAAGCTCAACGCATGGTAGAGGGTCGTCTATCCGCACCATTCTCCACCTTTTTCCGTACGTCCCCACCGCAACCCCGTCGGCTGAGTTCGACGCGCCCGAACACACTCCACGCCCTCGTATACCGACAATCCCGGCTAAACAACAATGGTAACGACCACGCTCCTGCATCCCAACCCCGGACCACACTCAGCTCTCGCACCCATGCCTCAACTCTACAAAGCTACCGCACACTTTTCCCCCCACTCGAAGCTCGGTCCTAAGCCATGATCGTAGGCTGCACTCCCTAGTCCCCCAGCCCCACTCACCCCCCCCCTCCTACCCTCCCCCCTGCGACGCCCCCGTTGACTGATCCGAAATTTTTTCATATAAACCTCGCTGGCACGAGCAAGATACAAGCACCCGCAACAGCACCCCCTCGTGACGCAGACTTCTTCACAAACGCTCTCTACAATCAACTCCTCGACCTCCGCTCCCAACCACTGTTGCCGCCCCCCCCCGCCCGCCCCCCGTCACGTACCACCCTCACCCTCACCCCACATACTACTTCAAGTCAAAATTTTAAGATGTCGACCAAATTGTCCCAACCCAGGGGTGTTCTCGAAGCGCGAACACGCAACCATCCCTCCATACTCTGCTCTGGCGCAAGAAATTGCCCTCACCGCGTGCCGCTGCTACGCGCGCCGTCGTAGCGGTCACCGCGCCGCAACCTTGACGCGCACGAGTGCTCGTCGAGCTCTTCCCCGCAGCGCTGTTAGCTGTGTGCTACTAGCATCGCCTCGACTCCTCTACCATCGGCATACCTAAGCCAGTCCTCTGAACAGACCCGTTCACTATCAATAAAAGAAAACGTCGCGCGCGAGAACCTCGCCCAGACACCACATCCACGACCTCTCGTTCGTTGAGCCGCCCCGCTGCCACTGCACTACCTCCTTCATAACTACGTTCAAAGAGTCGTTCTCGCAGATTTGGAGAGCAGATTGAGATAGCGTCCAAAAACACATCTAGTGATGTATGTCCGTTACAAATGACCACTTCGACCTGGTAGCCCTATACTTGCGTCAACTGTTCCTCTTCGGAAAAACTATGGCATAGATTCAGCCTCGTCGTCCTATATTATAGCCTCATATAAACTTCAGAAAATCTCTTCGACAGCATCTCGTTCCGTCAAATACCTATACTATCACGACGAAGTCCGCTCGCCGCCTAACTAATCGTTAGGTCAAAATCTCCATTGGCGAACAGTTCACGCATTCATGCACGCTTCTACATGATAACTGAGGTTTACTGCCCCGCTAAGTCGCGCGCATCCCAGGGGGGGGGGGAACCCACGGAACGGGCGAGCATGGTGTAACTGCTATAACCACCTCACATTGACATGTGTTAATACCTTCCTTATAACTCTCTCTCCCGCTCGCCATCGCCGCGCCCTGTATCCTTATCCCTCTTTTTCTCCTCCTTCCTCCCCTCCCCCTTTCTCTCCCCCCCTTACCTCCCTTCCCCTCTCCCTCCCTCCCCCGCTCATCCGGCTGCCACGGCAGCACCATGTAGAATGAGACTGAGTGTGCTCGATCGGTGTTTATATAGCCGCTGTGGGTTTATCATGATCATGACATCAACATCACGAAGTGTTGCCCTTCGTACTCCCTGGTTTTGTGAGCGGTCGGTCCGGACGGACAGAACGACACACACACACACACACACACACACACACACACACACACACACACACATACACACACACACACACACCGGTACACCGTACATACATGTTTTCTACATATTTTCTGCGTTTTTCATGAGCTATCAATAACTTTATCATTACAATTTACTCTATGCAAGCGCGTCTTAGGCACATTTGATCGCTCGAAAAGTTTTTCTTTACGACGAGCAAAATTCATGAATATGACAATTATTTTATTGTGTAAGAGGTCAAAAATCGACTCAAAATTCACCAATGAAATTCCACGTGGTTACTTTCAAATTAAACGCGGTAAACATTGGGTCTTCAATGAAGCATTGCGCAAAGGGGGTAGTGTTTCGTTCACGTTCAGTGGAGATCGCTTACATTACAGATAATGATTTTTCGGGTCTGGGACAAAACTGGAATAGTGGAACCTTTCTGAGCAGCCTGTTCCTCGATGACGGAGTCGAAATGGCAAAAACACCAGAAAAATATCTCGGCGATATCATCACAGGCGGATCAGCACTCATTCGTTATATATGGTATGAGATGAAGCTCGTTGGTATTTTTATGATTCGTCACAGCAGAGCTTTTTTCAATGGTTGAAACCTTTGGCTCAACCTCTGCACGTTTCCTTATAGCACGGTACCAGGTCATCAGTAGACAAAGCATACCTTTGATAGAGTTTGTGGTAACCATTTCATGAATTTTGCCATTTGTATTTTTGTCCACGAAACCGTTGATAGCCTGATGTTGACTGATTATTTGCTCTTCCTTCATGCAGAAATCACAGAAATTAAAATCAGAAACAACCTCGACAGCACCGTACGCCTTGTTGAAGTCCAGCGCCTGCACTTTAGCACCGAATTTTTTCTTTATTTTATCTTCATAGTCCTTTTTGATGGCGTATTTTTTGCTGCAACTTTCAAGTTTCAGAAATGATCTATTAAAAAATCAACAATTTTGAAGTTGTTTTTTACCTCAATATTTATTTGTCAGAAATTTCACTAATTGTTCTTACTTCAAAAAGAATCCATTTGCAATGTTAGTCTCCACTCCTTCGGATGCGTTTTGAAGCTGGCCGTAGAGCGTTGCGTAGTAGTCTTCTATTGTTTGATTGGGTGGACCTAAATTATGTAAGTGGCCTATCAAGTCTTTAGGAATTTCTGAAAGCAGTCAGTTACACCTCCAGAAATAGCGGAACTGATTTGCGATTTTGTAGTGCCTCTTGCACGATTTGGAGCATTCGTACAGAGGCGAGGAGCACAGCGAAACGGCGTGAACAACCTACACGACTCGTAGTAGGGAATAGCGGAGCAGTATTAATCCAACATGTCCATTCCAGCGCAGTAGATAATATTTCTAAACTTATGAGCGAGTACTTATGTGGACTCGTATAAAAATGAAAAGGAAGCGGCATTTGGCGTTGATCAATTCCTTATTCAATTCCTTCCTTATCTAAGACTGCTACCGATCAAGCATTTGGAGAGATGGAATATATGGGTTGACCTAGACAGCTTCATTTAGGGACGCATTCTCTGGAGCGCGTTTCAGAGGGAGTAATTGCGGTAAAGTGGGTGCGCCACGACGAAGTATGTCCAGAAGTAGCAACAAGACCGGTTAATTGGGAGCGAGCGCGGAACACCTGAGTATTTCAGCGCAGTTAGCCGGTTCTTAACTTTCCCATTTTGAAAGAACTTTTCACTTCAAAAAATAAGTCGGCGATTGATTGCTTTGAAAATCAAATCGGACCGCGTGATGGGATTGCCATTAAACAGGGTTTCCCAAAATTGGAGCGCCGAAATTCAAAAATTTATTTAGCAAATGGACCCGGTTGTTTTCTTTCCATTTGCTGATGATTAGTTCTGCCGGAAGGTTTCTTAGTCTGCCTCATGGCGGTATAAAGTATCTTTATTCGAGCGTTGTGGTAAGGTTTTGAGTGCGACTTATCATTGCTGCTTCGAGCAGGCCCTCAACAAAGAGACACGACAACAATTTTTGTAGTTTCAACAGGGCTACAAGTCATAGGAAGAATCATTAAACAATACACAGCGAAACAGGGCGCTTTATCTGTCATAGGCCCTGAAGGGAGGGGAGAAAAGCAGCCGTTCTGCTGAAAGGATTGACTGAAAAATATCCGATTCTCAAATAGGCTGAAACTTGACTCTCCGTCGGAAAAATCCCAAAGCTGGAGCTGGATAAATCGAAGTCATAGATGGGGCAGAGTTTATTGAAGAACATCGTAGCCATCTCTATCATATGCAGGAATGCTATCCTATCTACGATACCAACAAGTAGCAGAGAAGCGAAAAATGCAGAAGGTCGCTTATCCGCTTGGCTAACGATAAGCACACCTCTATGAATTCTCCTGAACGGAAAGAAATTTCCTCAGCTGGGGATCGCAGTGGCAGAACGATGCACCCATCCAGAAGTGTGGGAGGTGCTACTTCACGAAGAAAGATTGTCAGCAGACCCCCGAACTCGGCCCAAGAAATGAACGTCGTGAAAGCTCGTCCGAGCCGCTCCGTAGAAATAACCCGATGTGGTTTTGGCAGGAAAATGCTCCAGCCGCAATGCCAAGTTCGACCAAGATGGTGCCGGTTTCAGCTGCCCGACTTTGCTGGCAACGAAGATGGCCTTCATTTTCATCTGATGCGCACCGACCGCATTTACATCGACGCCTGGTTATTGAGTGCAGTAATGTCTGTCGAGTTCTTCACAACACTTTCGAGTCGCTGCAAGCAGTACTGAAGAAAGCCTTGTTAGTAATAAACGAGGAATACTTGCGTGCAACGTTGCGTGAACATTAAGAAACGACTTCAAGCTTGCAGTGGGGAACATTCCGAGATCTTTTTGTTCCACATTACTGTACATGATGCTACTTATAATACATAGATTCTCTTTGCTTCACTTGGCATTCTCCGATTGAAAGCGGAAAACATATTACTGTGAGTAGGGCCCACAATTTTGGGACACCCTGTAGAAAAATAAGAGGTAAGTGCGACCGCTTATCACTGCCACATAACACCTCAAAATGAAAACCAAAAACGCGTCATGGCGTTGAAGGGAGAGAGGTATCCAGAATAGGGCATTCAAGACCTCTGACAGGTGACTCTAAGACTGAGCTAGGGGAGAGGAGAAATACCAGGAAGAACAAAAAATGCTCACATCCTTGCCCGGAGCCCTTTCTCTCTAAGCATTGCTCACGAACACTTTACCTGACTCATTCAAATGGATGCCTCCCACTTAAACAAAATGAGTGCTCGAAAAAATTACCTGATCACTACAAGAACCCTGCCTTAGCTCTTCCACAAAGTGATAAAGTTCATCAGATACAGGTTCCTGTTTTTTTGTCATTTTCTCATTGCGCGTCATTTTTGTTCCATGAAGCTGCTCGGTTGCACAAAAATGTAACAACTGTTGTACTTGACAAAGGGTGAATGGTCGAATGAATGTTGTCAAACAGACTCGATATTGGGGCCAAACTTATGTGATCTTCAATAGTTTTTCCAGAAGTCGGTGGGAAACAGAACTTTACGGAGTGGGCACCATTGTTATCGATCATGATAATGTCGCGTTATAGAAAAAATCCATTCCGACTAAATAGCGCTCGGAGAATGAAAATTCAGAAACCTAATATCCCAAAGGACCCTCTCAAACGAATGCTTGAGGGTGTTCAAGGTTACTTGGCAAAAATCTAAAAAGGTGTATGAAGAGAAATCATCGCCAAAATTATTAACTCTGCTTATTAAGGCAGACGAGGAGAGTGGAGCCTATGTATGTAGTCTTGATACCTCTCCCGTTTTATCCCGATGGTCAGACTTCTTCACAAAACTGAACGAAAGGAATGAAAGATGGAAGACTTCGTGTCCCTCGAGCGAGGAGGATCCACTGGACCACTCCTGCACGCGACAGGGACGAATGGAGACGTTGCTGGCGCCCGCTCGAGCAATTCGATGATCAACGGGACGACAGGTGATAAGGTGACATGTTTTTGGGTGGTGGAGCGCGCCATATCTTGAATCTGAAGTTGAGCGCGTTACCACGCCCACCGTAAATGAAGTGGCACCTACCCGCTTGAAAGATATAGTCTGGACAAAATACTCCGCCAGATATCAGCAAAGCGCGCTGGAAGCAGCTTATCCGCTCAACTTCTATCAATTGCGTGGCTGCCACGTTATCTGGCGTGACAGCGGGCTTCAATCAGAAGCTTCGGATATCGACTGGTACCGTGCTTACGGACGCCCTTTTGACTGGGATGGTAATTTCTTTGGTCAAGATGTGCTACGTGAAGCTAAAAGCCATCATAGAGAAGAAAAGAGAGAAGTAATATTTCCATGGTAGTTACGTGGAATTTTTAAGCCGATCAGAGCGCTTTTTACCGGGCTTCAAACACAGTAATTCCGAGTTGTTCGTATTTCATGTATACTCGAGATCCGTAAGTTGGGGTAGGCGTGTCACCGGAAGTGACGTGTACTTGATAGAATCTATGTGGATAAGGTGCTTCCAATATACATCGCGAGATATCAGCAAAGCATGCTGGCAGCGACTTACCTACGCAACTTCTATCAAGTCCACGTCACTTCCGGTGACACGCCTACCCCAACTTTACGGATCTCGACTGTATATACAAAAAAGATGCGGTAGATCACCACAACCTTCCACAAAAGCGTAACAAGCCAAATTAGCAGATTTCTGCAAATTACACAGCAAGAAAAATGATAGGCGGGAGAAGCATTTTCAACTCTCCATTCCCAACCTATTTAAAGACCAGCAATATAATCAGCGAGCAACAGCAAAGAAAGCCCGCAACATTTTGTAGAGGAATGCCGAAACTACCAAATATTGCAGCCATCAGCAATTTGTAGACACGAAGCCCCGTCATCACCATTGAATGTCGCTGATCTGACTAAGCGGGCCACCTGATGTATTAGGTTGGTAACTTTGAAATGTCGCTTCCTTTAGTGGCTTTGTTTCTCAGCTGAAACTCAACCTCGTAATATGGGAGACCATCCATTCGAGAGAGCCATTCAGTGCGCATATTGCGAAACCTTAGCCGTCAGTGAGCGGATGTTCTTCGAGCCAAAACTTTTGGTGATTGATCAGAAAACATCGCCTGAGCGTGTATATTCAAGCAAGGAAAAACAGCCAACGAATCCCACTCATTACGTGGCAAAACGGCTAATTTATGGTTGGCCCTTGAGCAGCCAAACAACTACCGATCTCTGTAGCATTTCGCTATGTTTTGCAGCTCTTCCTAAGACTTCGTCACTCCAAGAAGAAAGAAGGTTCCTGACTTCGTTGAAGAGCGTGTTTTACAGAAGGATGTTCCCCGATACAAAGTGAGAAGATGGCCGTGGTTGGCAACAGATGGGCAGCTGAGGGCCTCTCCGAAACCGGACAGCCACAGAGAAAAAGTCTTGCTACAGTATGGTGAAGCAGTATAAGAATGGCTTACTATGGAGAGCTGATTGTGCGTCATATAGTTACAGCTAAACCCTGCGCACAACACCCGCAGGCGAGGATCGGGCTCTGCGTAGTCAAAGGGCAAATTCGGTCATTGAAAAATTTTGGCACGATAATGCAAGATCACATGTCGCGAAAATTTTGCAACAAGAAATCGAGGAGTTGGGCTGGGACGCTCTGCCTCTCGCGCCATATAGCTCAGACCTGGCACCGTCCAACAATCACTGACCTAGGCCAATACAGCACCCCTCAGCAGCAAATAAATTCAATGACCGCGACGACGTCAAAATTTGAGTACCTATTTCTTCCTCGACACTCGTACCTGCCACCACGCTTTCAGCGAGCCGACAGACCTCCATGCTTTGCATAACGAAAGGTGGAGAGTGGATGACACACATAAAGGAAAATAAATTAGGTTGATAAGCTTTGGTATAGCTTTTATACTTAAAATAATCTTTGATCAAAAACGACATTTCAAAGTTACCAACCTAAATATATAATATCCGGGGAGTTGAACTTTCAGACGAGTTTCGTAAGTTACCGCGGATAGGAGGGGGTCCTTGCGAAGACTCGCGTCACTTGGTTTCTAATATTCCCCAACGTAATGGTCAACTCTGGGTGTATCACACATGCGTCAACTTGTGTGGTTTCATCACTTA